GTCTGCAGAAGGTTTTTGTCTATTATCACATCAATGTATGATAAACTGTGTGCCTGTTAGAACATCTACTGGGTTATCCAAATACTTTAAGTGTAATATAGTTACCCGTCAAGGATGCATCCTCAGCCCTCAGATGTTTTTAATATTCATAAATAAACTTATTGAGGACAAACCGTCTTTATTACTGAAGACTGACCAGCAATATATGCATTTATGTTTGCTGATGACGTGTCATCTATTACTGATACACCTTTAAATTTACAAAATAAGCCTTGGAACATTTTTGCAATACCACAGGCATGAAGGTAAACTTGAAGAAAACTAAAGTTATGGTATTCAGAAATGGCGGACCCCTTAGACATTATGAAAAATGGAAATTTAATAGTGTATATATTGAAACTGTGTCGTTTTATAGATATTTGGGTATTGTGTTCACGCCCAAACTTGTTTGGACTAAGGCACTAAATACTCTTGCTGCACAGAGTAACAAGGCCATTATATAGATATCAAAAGAAAGTTGGTAATATACCCTATCAAGATTTATTCAAGATAGTTGATGCTATGATTGTGCCTATTGTCTGTTACGGCGCAGAAATATGGGGCACCTCATATTGTAAAATTATTGAAGATGTACAGAATAAAATGTGTAAATGGTTTCTAAATACAGGTAAAACAACAAACAATGCAATGGTTTTAGGTGCGGAAGAGCCCCTCTCCAACTTGTGTATACCACAAGAGCCATCAAGTATTGGTGCAGGCTACTGCGTTTGGACGAGCACAGACTGCCTCGCCAATGTTATTTAATGCTCAAATCACTGGACCATTCTGGTCGCACCACATGGGCTACTTACATCAAGAATATTTTGTATAAATTAGGTTTTGGATATGTATGGTTAACACAAGATGTTGGCAATGTGAAGATATTTATTCATCTTTTTAAACAAAGATTATTTGATAACCTTCAACAATCATGGTGTAGTTCTATCAAAAGTACATCTGATACCTTTTATTAGAAACATTTTAAATCCCCGTTAAATGTAGAAAAATATCTTACACTCTTCATACCAGTACATCTGAGAATATGTCTGACTCGTTTCAGATGTAGCAAGTTTAAACGTGCAGTTGACTTGGGGAGATACACAAATATCCCATACACTGAACGATTATGTAAATATTGTATAGAAAATGGTATATCTTTTATTGAAGATGAATTTCATGTTTTACTTGTATGTGAGCGTTATTCAGCCCTAAGAAATATGTATCTTAAACAGTATACCAAGTTTCAAACTGTAAAATCTTTTACTGAAATTATATCATCAGAAAACTTTGATGTTGTATATAACACATGTTTATATCTATATAAAGTCCAACAGTTAAGATAAACTTAAATCGACTACTTCCTTGGCATGCGTAGTTCATGCAATCAACCATTGTCTGTAGTATGGGCCTATGGCCTGCTTACTGAATAAACTGTCTGTCTGTCTGTCTGTCTGTCTGTCTGTCTAATTAAATAATTTTGCGCACTCAGTGTTTGACATCTTAATTTACAGTTGAAAAGGACCATTTTGGTCCCGTGGCTCTAAGGGGATGTGAAAAGTGAGTCGTTCCATGGCACCACGAAGGCTGAATCAGATCACGAAAATCAAACATGAATCGGACATATTTTAGTGAAAACAGTTTTCTCTTTATCCTGTTGTCAACTTTGTCGATGTTGTGCTGTTGCCATGGATGCAGCCACTGCGTCTTGGCTTGAAAGTACGTTTTTGTTCCTGCCTATCGATTTTACCTTCAAGATAATAATTAGCTTAGGACCGTCTTCACTTTCACCTATGAATGATTGATACCTGTTTCGCCTTGTAAACAACTTAAGAATGTGATAAAAACCTCGCTTGTCGTTTGAAGAAACGTTTAAACATTGTCCCACAGAACAAGGGAATGAAGAGAATGAATCAAAACATGTTGGTCGTCACAGTTTACTCAATTCAAACTTAGCAAATCGTTTTATAGTTTAATCAGTAAATCCGCTATCGTGTCACTAAATGTTCCGTTTGGTCAATCAGCTGATTGTCTTGTTTGTTCGCAGACCGTCGTCCCTTGCCCGGGTACTACTGTTCAGAGTCGTGCAACACACACTTACTTTTTACACAAATTGCGCGAGTAGTTGTGCTACCGATACGGCAGAACATTACCATTATCCCCAATAGAACACAAACAGAAACCACTGATAAAAACACGTGAGTGAAAATTCCTTAAAGGCCCCCGCTAAAAGTCTCCTGAATCTATTCACGCGCTGTAGTTATTTACCTTTCTAAGTCAGAGTTTCCCAAACACCCACTGTGTTGCTTTGTTCTTAGGATATTGGTATCATGGAACATATGTTTAATATTATACATTGTGTTATGGCTTCAATAGACAAACCCGATACAATTGGTATCAAGATCCGATAGATATGCAAATTAGGGCACGTGGCAGGAACTATATTTAAGGTCCATACAACTTTTCAATGTCTGCTTGCTTAATAGTTATTAACTATCGTTTCGTCAGAGCATTCTTGTTGACTTTCTAAAGACATACATGGCGGTAAATCAATAGTCACGGTATGTGCAAAAGACAGTTTCCTGAAATATGTAGTCAAATGTGGTTTCTAGAGTTACATGTATTTAACATCAAATATTTTAAGAATGACATTTCATGTTTCTTATGTGTATGGTTCCGTATCATAATTGTCGTATGTTAGGAAGAAAACCCATGTCTTTCCAATACATTAAATGATCCTAATAAATGATATTTACCATACGGAAACACTTGGCCAGTAATGACTGTTTCTCGAAAAAGGTATGGTATGCGTTGTGTGATATGAAAAAGTTACATGTATGTGTTTATGTGTAATCCAGAATATATCTGACCGGTGGTAGGTTTTGCAGCGTGAAGACGGTGTCAGTTTCGTCTGCTGTTATCAACACAATTCCTGATATGAAGTATACATTATTCTGATACTATTACTTTTCTTATCATTTCGAAGCACAGATTAGCAATAAGTGAGGGATTAATTGATCGCCTTGCCTACATCCCATCAGTGCTGTAAATATGCCAGGGCACACAAGGCTACAATCGATGATGTAGGAAATGTTAACTTCAAAATTAATGATCAGTAAACCCTGGTATATCCAATACAATCAGTGTTGTGTATAATACTATTGATTAAGCTTGTTTCCTCGCTTTACAAACTATTTGACATAAACCCTGTTTGATCTTCATGCATGAAAGATGAGGATAGTTGAGGGGACTAATCTAGCCGATCCCATATGGATTTGGGAAATAACATGATAACCCACTTGAAGTCGAAAAGGCTCTAAATCATGCTATTTTTACAACAGAAGTTGGAGTTTTTGTGCTGTCCCCATCATCACTTTGTGAGAGGCGATGGGGTCACATAGTGGGTAAACCGTTCCCTCGTCACGCCGACGGCCCGGGTCCGATTCTCCACATGATTATAACATGTGAGGCTCATTTATAGAATCCCCTTGCCGGCATATTGCTTGAACATATAACACCTTGTGACGCTATTTCCCACAGAATGTCTTCTCCTGTAAACATGTTCATGGCCATGTTTTTGTGGGCTAGCACATTCATTTTGAAATGGTAGCAAAGGACTATGGCTTGTCATAAATATGGGGATGATGCAATACATGAACTCGTAAGGGGGACAATACATTTTGGATAATACTTCTCCATCTGGCAACCCACACAGAATATATGTCAGATATTCTTGATGTGTGGGTTATCACTATCTTCAATCGATACCTTCTTTTAAATGTTTGAACATTGTATGCAGATGTGATTTCGATCTTCTATGGCAAAGTGTTTCGTAGAATGGTGTGAGTGCATTGATTGTATGATTGTTTTCTTTTGTTGGGGTTATTTTGTCTCTGATTTGGTCATTGCTTTATTGAAAATTGATTCTGGATTCTGGTGTTGAAATGAACTTCGCTAGACTATCTCTCTCGTTTCCAGTTTGTTATAAATAAGAGAAATATTTCCCAAGTTGTGATTGTGTTTTGACGTGCTTGACTACCTTTAGCGTTTGTTATTAACAATGTCAGTTTAATATAGTTCTGCTTCTAGTTCGTCTACTATGTAATTATACTGTCTTCATCTGTATCACGTACACTTTCATTTCGTGTTGAATACCTTGTAGACTTGCCTTTAACCATCAATAAATACGTCTCCATAGCAGTTGATCATCAATATTACATCTGTGTCGAGTGTGTATTCATCAATAGTTTCTTTCAGAGTACGTGTCTTATCGTGCAAAACATGGATATTGAATTAATGTTATATGTGTTCAGGGGGCCAATGTATTGAGTGATTGGATCGATTTTAACCTGAATCAATTCCGACCTTTCAACAGATATTTCATGGTTTTACAATATGAAAAAAACATTATCGAATTTTGCTTGTTTACCTGTTCAGATTGACATTGTGTTTGTGTATATGTGGCCGTGACCCGATTGATTGTTTTCCCGGGTTCAGTTAAACTATTTATTCATTTGTTTTCCCACAAACCTTTTAGTTGTTGATATTTTTTAGACATATCAATCCAAGTAATGTTGTTATACATTATTCTACAATGAAAACAAAATTCTGAATAGCAAACCGCAGTATATGATGTTGCTTGCTACAAAATATTTGAACAATAAATGTTGTACGATATACTTACATTGTCCTGTTGATATATCCGTGTTTTAACAATATTTATAGTGTTCAAACATGTCTAAATCTGTTTCAGAGGTTGGTGTATTGTACAACGTAATGAGCGAAGCCTCCTCTATGGTGACCAATCTCACAGCAGGTTACGTATTTCTTCAAATAATAACATGTTGGTCACAGATCTAACCTGACGTAATACATGTATGTTAAAGCAAAGCATTTGAATTCATTGCATAAAAGAAAGCAATCACGAATGTCTGCAACTGTTTTATTAATCTAAAAAGCTCAGACATATTGATGAAAGTCACAGTACATTACTTTACAGAGAGGTACATTCTCATATTCATATGGCTTATGGGGAGACGCTGGAAATCGGCTTCACATTTAGGGAGTCGAACCCGGGTCTTGAACGCAACGACTGAACCCTTTACCAACCAGGCTACCCCATGGCCCTAGTTAGTGATTAAGTGACACCATCACTTTAGAGATTCCAGCTTCTAACTTGTCCCCAGCAACCTTTACTGGTTACAAGAGGCGATTAAATTGGTTGAGTGGTCAAACTGGTTGATTTGGTTGATTGTGTGTCAACGTGCCACGACATGGTTGCACCATTGCTCACCACAAGGGTTAGCTGGACAAGGTTTTAAAAAAGATTGGATTATATAACTAGAACATTGCAGAATGTGGCGTTTCATAACTGACAGTCAACCCCGTCTCGGGAACACACCGCTTTGGCTCATCAAATCTCCAGTCACATTTCCTTTTATTCAGTTACACCTGTAAATGCCAATTATATGTGGGTGTATTTGAATCTGTATCTATCAGATGAATTGAGTCCTTCAAGCACGGAGAATGTTGGTGGCTAAAATTGTTTCCAAAAATACAGGAAGTTATTCTCTTGGCACAAGCACAATTTCCAATTTTGAGTTGATACTGATGTATTCTCGCGCTTGCAAAGCCTGCCACTATCTAGTGTACTTTGATTTTACATCCTTGTAGGTAGGTTATTTTTGGATGAAGACACGGTGTTTGCCTTGGTGCTGTGATATAGCTGTGAGTTTAATACTGCAGCATAACTAGAATTAGAGCATCTAACTGCATGTTGGGGATGGTGGAAAATTACATAACTTGCTATTATCATCCCACACTGTACCTGGCGGGCAGGTTTTTGGAAACATACCGTTAACTGAACACACCACATATTCATCGCATCCTCCTGAGCAGGAGTGAAAGCTCCCGATGAGATCAACACACTCCGACACACATGAATCTGAAACAATACAGTATCTACATGTATTTTCACTCTGAATATAAATGTTATTCCACATTATCAGACATATTTAGTCATGTATATCTGCATATAACATGTGTTATTCGCTGAATTCATTTCTGATCTATTAAGGTCAAATGGAAAGTTGCTACACACTAGTGTTGAAAGTGCTATCCTAACAAGAAATGTCACGTACAGACCTTATAGTAATGACTCAACATGTGATGTTTGCAAGAAGTGAAAATTATAATTCATTTGTCATCTGGATATATGTTACTAATACGATCTAATCATAACAATGAAATCCAAATATGGATATACTTAGAACCTTAGAATTCGGAATACCTTATTTCAAAAACGTTTATGATTATTTCAACTAAATCAATAAATGATTCAATATCTTTTACAAATAATGAAAATAAATTTACAAATCTAAAAACATATATCAGTAATCAACGACTTGAAATGCTTACTTGTTTCAGTAGTAGTCGAGGCAGTCATTACAGTGGTAGGTGCTGCAGTAGTCGTTACAGTGGTGGGTGCTGCAGTAGTTGTTACAGTGGTGGGTGATGCAGTAGTCGTTACAGTGGTAGGTGCTGCAGTAGTCGTTACAGTGGTAGTTGCTGCAGTAGTCGTTACAGTGGTAGTTGCAGTAGTTGTTACAGTGGCAGGTGCTGCAGTAGTCGTTACAGTGGTGGGTGCTGCAGTAGTCGTTACAGTGGTAGTTGCTGCAGTAGTTGTTACAGTGGTAGTTGCTGCAGTAGTTGACACAGTGGTAGTTGCAGTAGTTGTTGCCGTCGTTTGTTCTGCAGTAGTCGTAACAGTGGTGGTTGCTGCAGTAGTCGTTAAAGTGGTAGGTGCTGCAGTAGTTGTTACAGTGGTAGGTGCTGCAGTAGTTGTCACAGTGGTAGGTGCTGCAGTAGTTGTTACAGTCGAAGTTGCTGCAGTAGTTGTTGCAATGGTTGGTGGTGCATCTGTTGTTACCGTCGTAGGTACTGCGTCAGGTGTTGTTGAAGCAGATGGTATATCAGTAGATAGTGCTGATGTAAGTACAGAAACAGAATCAGATTCAAGTTGCTTTCATTTCAGTATTGACAGTGTATGTATGCCCCATGTTATCAAACAGGGACTGATCAAAGCTGATGAGAAAAATGAAAAGTGTGTTGAGTACCATTTATGGACACTATTGCAGAGCGACTTTAGCGTCCCTTACAGGGTGGGTGAGGTCACGTATCACATTGTGAACGTGTTAGTGTTTGTGTTCTGTCAAAACAAAAGCTAAACACAAAATTAATCACTTTCCTTTTCCAATAATTGTAACAGCGTCCTTAACATGTTTAAATCACAATCACATCAGAGCAAGTTAAGGTTCCAGACATGTTTGGCATCTAATCATGTTTAGGCCAAATGTGTTACAATTATGGACCATTATGTGCTTAGCTTGGAGTTTTAGGATCTAAGCATATGTTTTCAATCAAAAACTGTGTGTCAGTGAAACTAATAACGGTTTCAATTGATCAAGGAGTCAAATAAACCAATATAAGCATACTATTACATTCTTCATGCCGATCTACATGATTTTATTATTCTGTTTTACAAACACCAAATGAACACAAACAATAAACGACAATGGCAATGTGTCTATTAAAGTATCTACTAGAAGGGAGATAATTCGCTGAATGCCACCATTGGATATCAATACCACCTTTTATGCTTCACCGCGTCAGTTAAACAACTCAGATCAGGATGTCAGATGTGCTGACAGTGTGCTTCTTTCCGTTAGGGACTCTCCCGGAATGAGCTCCAGGCCATACCTACATGTAGCACTGCATAATAGGTCTCAGTAAATCCAGAATTAGCCATTGCTCTTGATGATAGTGTTTTTTACTTCTCGTGTAAGCAAAACCTCTAACTATATCCATTTCTTCAGATACAGGTCTGGTGTGCAAAATGTATTATTACTGAGTGTTACACAGATGCAAAGTTACTGACTCGACCTGAACCCCATCATCAAAATAAACGAGCTAAATTGTGATATGAGCAGCAGAATATCCACTCGAATCATGCATTACAAAGACCACATATAATTAATTACCATATCTTGATGATTATCATGACGACCGTCATTGAAACAATATTGCTGTATTCCAGAATATTACAAATGTCATTGTCCACACAGAACTCAATGCCGAATTAATGTGTTCTCATAATGTTTGGGAATCTAAACGTGTTTAGAACATAGGTAGGTTGTGTTTAGTTTAATGTAATTGGTACTGGTACCATTTCACGTGGTTAAGTTCTAAACACATTTCGATTGAATAACAAAACAAATTCATTTCTGTTGGGATTGAAACACATGTCAACGAGTTCATAAGTAGTGAGTGAGAGAGTGAGTTGTGTTTAACGCCGCTTTTAACAGTATACCAGTTATATCACGGCGTGTCGGCTTAATGTGGGAGGGAAGCCCAACAGGATGCAGGTCTCAGACGTTTACCAATTCGGTGAAACCCACGAGCACGGGGGTATAGGCACAAAGTTAGAAACATAATCGGGGCGAACGGGGATTCGAACCCACAATCATAGGTTTCTGGCGTGCCCAAGGGACGCAACTCTGTACAGCGAATCGCGTCGCCTTGGACGACTGGGCCATCCGTGCCCCCAGTTCATAAGTAAACATGTCTTGCATGTGTTTAATGCCATGTGTACAAGATAATACATGTGGAGTAGACGTTTCACAATTCAAATGTACATCCCAAATTTGAGTATTTCCGGACCAATATATAAAGTAAAGGGAGACATCATCTGTGAGTGACATGTTGTGCAAACGCTTCTCTGTTACGAAACATATTGACCTGGACTCGTAAATGCCCTCGACTGACATCTCCAACAATGCTTCGGGAGTCATTTAAAACACAAGTGTGGCCATACAACCAGTAACAAACAATGACAATTGTGGATAATAATCTTTTTGTCAAGATAACGCGACAGGTTTCTTCAAGGCCTTTTCAGAACAAAAGTATCCGAGTCGGGACTTACTGACTGCCGACAATGTAGTTATGTACACTAATGACTCGAAGTTCATTCCCCTTACACGCATGGGCACCTTACACGTTACGCAACCCGTGTGCACCCCGTTGGTCACTGGTGTGGAACCCGTCCGCCGCGCGTTTAACGCGGGTGAGCACCTCGTTCGTCACTCGTGTGCAACGCGAGACTCACTCATTAGATTGGGAACAAACGTTTGACCAAAGGAAGACCCATGTTAAATTGAACTTGGTGGTGGTAACAAGGAGAGACATCCTGACCAAAAATGCTGATACACATGTTATTTTTTGTACTTGCTGATGTCTCATTTTTAGATGTGTGGTTTTGTAGGAAAATATGAGTATTGGTGTGGCTTCTACATGATGTTTTGCGATGGTGTCAAGAGAATACACGATCCTAGTTAATGCCATTCAAATGGGTTGTTTTTTTATTTGACATTAAATGTGTGTAGTACGACTTTCAGTGTTTATGAGGCTTGGCGGGGCATTGTTTTATTGGACCCTAATTACTTTATGACGCTGGAAAAGTGAAGCATTTAGTTAATGAGAGTAGGTTATATCATGGAAGATACACTTGAGGGAGAGGGTTCTACTAATTACCCTACCACAGGAAGAGACCTGTAGATAAGATGACCGTTGCATAATGGCCGTCAGGAGAGATAAACATTGAGCTAAAGCACTTTTGTTTTCACGCGTTGTTGAATAGTTTCCCAGCGCTACTGTCAATTTATCTTCTACTTGATCCTTGATACATCATTTTGGCATTAACAATATATTATTTTCAACGTACATTATTAGTTTTCTAGTCATATGTTTTTGAATATTTGTCAAGTCTGTTTAGCTAACAAGCAATAATGGTAATATATATGGTGGCATGTAAATATAAAACGTCTGACGTAAAACGTAGTAAGTACAATAGTAAATACAAATATTCAAATCACATAACAATACAATTATAACAAGATACATAAGTAATTCTAAAACCTGTGTTCCACATTCAACATGAGCTGTCCAACTTTTAAAATACCAATGTAACCTTCTGTAGCAGGAACATGAGCTGTCCCACTTTTAAACTACCAATGTAAGCTACTGTAGCAGGAACATGAGCTTTCCCACTTTTAAAATACCAATGTAAGCTACTGTAGCAGGAACATGAGCTTTCCCAATTTTAAAATACCAATGTAAGCTACTGTGGCAGGAACATAAGCTTATCAATTTTAAAATACTAATGTAAGCTACTGTGGCAGGAACATGAGCTTATCAATTTTAAAATACTAATGTAAGCTACTGTGGCAGGAACATGAGCTGTATCAATTTTAAAATACTAATGTAAGCTTCTGTAGCAGGAACATGAGCTGTTCCACTTTTAAAATACTAATGTAAGCTACTGTAGCAGGAACATGAGCTGTCCGACTTTTAGAATACTAATGTAAGCTACTGTAGCAGTAACATGAGCTGTTCCACTTTTAAAATACTAATGTAAGCTACTGTAGCAGGAACATGAGCTGTATCAGTTTTAAAATACTAATGTCAGCTTCTGTAGCAGGAACATGAGCTTTCCCACATTTAAAATACTAATGTAAGCTACTGTAGCAGGAACATGAGCTTTCCCACTTTTAAAATACTAATGTCAGCTACTGTAGCAGGAACATGTGCTGTATCAGTTTTAAAATACTAATGTAAGCTACTGTAGCAGGAACATGAGCTTTCCCACTTTTAAAATACTAATGTAAGCTACTGTAGCAGGAACATGAGCTGTCCCACTTTTAAAATAATAATGTAAGCTACTGTAGCAGGAGCATGTGCTGTATCAGTTTAAAAATACTAATGTAAGCTACTGTAGCAGGAACATGAGCTTTCCCACTTTTAAAATACCAATGTAAGCTACTGTAGCAGGAACATGAACTGTCCCACTTTTAAAATACTAATGTAAGCTACTGTAGCAGAAACATGAGCTGTATTAATTTTAAAATACTAATGTCAGCTACTGTAGCAGGAACATGAGCTTTCCAACTTTTAAAATACTTATGTAAGCTACTGTGGCAGGAACATGGGCTGTATCAATTTTAAAATACTAATGTAAGCTTCTGTAGCAGAAACATGAGCTTTCCCACTTTTAAAATACTAAGGTAAGCTTCCGTAGCAGAAACATGAGCTTTTCTACTTTTAAAATACTAATGTCAGCTACTTTAGCAGAAACATGAGCTTTCCCACTTTTAAAATACTAAGGTAAGCTTCCGTAGCAGAAACATGAGCTTTTCTACTTTTAAAATACTAATGTCAGCTACTTTAGCAGAAACATGAGCTTTCCCACTTTTAAAATACTAAGGTAAGCTTCCGTAGCAGAAACATGAGCTTTTCTACTTTTAAAATACTAATGTCAGCTACTTTAGCAGGAACATGAGCTATCCCACTTTTAAAATACTAATGTCAGCTACTTTAGCAGGAACATGAGCTATCCCACTTTTAAAATACTAATGTCAGCTACTTTAGCAGGAACATGAGCTGTCCCACTTTTAAAATACTAATGTCAGCTACTTTAGCAGGAACATGAGCTATCCCACTTTTAAAATACTAATGTAAGCTACTGTAGCAGGAACATGAGCTGTCCCACTTTTAAAATACTAATGTTAGCTACTGTAGCAGTAACATGAGCTATCCCACTTTTAAAATACTAATGTCAGCTACTTTAGCAGGAACATGAGCTGTCCCAATTTTAAAATACTAATGTCAGCTACTGTGGCAGGAACATGGGCTGTATCAATTTTAAAATACTAATGTCAGCTACTGTAGCAGGAACATGAGCTGTCCCAATTTTAAAATACTAATGTCAGCTACTGTGGCAGGAACATGGGCTGTATCAATTTTAAAATACTAATGTCAGCTACTGTGGCAGGAACATGAGCTGTCCCAATTTTAAAATACTAATGTCAGCTACTGTAGCAGGAACATGAGCTTTCCAACTTTTAAAATACTTATGTAAGCTACTGTGGCAGGAACATGGGCTGTATCAATTTTAAAATACTAATGTAAGCTTCTGTAGCAGAAACATGAGCTTTCCCACTTTTAAAATACTAAGGTAAGCTTCCGTAGCAGAAACATGAGCTTTTCTACTTTTAAAATACTAATGTCAGCTACTTTAGCAGAAACATGAGCTTTCCCACTTTTAAAATACTAATGTTAGCTACTGTAGCAGTAACATGAGCTATCCCACTTTTAAAATACTAATGTCAGCTACTTTAGCAGGAACATGAGCTGTCCCAATTTTAAAATACTAATGTCAGCTACTTTAGCAGGAACATGAGCTGTCCCACTTTTAAAATACTAATGTCAGCTACTGTGGCAGGAACATGGGCTGTATCAATACTAATGTCAGCTACTGTAGCAGGAACATGAGCTATCCCACTTTTAAAATACTAATGTAAGCTACTGTAGCAGGAACATGAGCTATCCCACTTTTAAAATACTAATGTAAGCTACTGTAGCAGGAACATGAGCAAGTTACCACAGGTAGCTTGGACACTATCTCAAGTGGATGAGTGTGTGTGGGTAAGTAGTGCATGATGGTTTAATGGTCCGGGATGCTGAAAGGAACTTAAGACTGTAGTACTATACATAATGTTTGTATTATTCGAAGAATAGAGATAAACGTATTGTGAATATTTTGAAGTATACTACAATTTAATGCCTCTTTATTATACATGCACCATGCCAGAGTAAATTTATTAGTATTAAACAAATGAAAATGAACCTAAAACCTATTTTCAAATAGGTATCTATCTAACTGTCTTACCTCCGTACAGACACAAGAAGCTCGTGGCTGCCTCAGTTGGCACACACACCTCATCTACAGGACATGGTCGACTCGCGCAGGGGTGGTCAAAATTCTGCAAAAAATGTTTTCAGTAATCAGATGTAATAGAAAATATAAGGTTAGTCCCAGATGTGGCTTCTTAGAAACGGCTCCACCCCCATAGTTTTAACATAACTTTTATAACGTCAAAGCGCCTTGATGCTTGCGTCACTGTGCTCTAACTATAATGGGCAAAACTATTTGTATATACACTACACATGTGGACAGAGTAAATGTTATTTCTTAGGTATTATCCTACAAATAATATTACCCCGGAAAGTGCATTTTTTTAAATCTTACGTAGCTTTACATCATCGCATTGATTCGGAAAAACGCAACCAGTGCTTTTATAAAAGGGTCATGGTGCTGCACGCACTGAAAGTGCAGCAGCACTATACACGGTATTAAAGTGCAGGGTTTTTGATTGCCTGGCATCTGCGTTAATCGAACAATGACAGTTCAACAAGATTAGAAGAAGTGCAAAGAAACACCCTCATAGGTTTCTTGCAGGCGGAGGAATCCCGATCAGCTGTAGGTTTTCAATGTAGTGCCCAGAACCACAACAAGGTTATAGGATCGGTTTTAACAGCGTGGGCTAACACGTGATCGGCCTAGGTCGGGACGACCAAGGATAACCGTCCCCGCCCAAGATCGCTTCATCCGACCACAGCCACCTCAACCGCATCGCAGATACCTGGACTGCGCAGAATAATCTCCACCCAAACCGTACGAAACCGTCTAATAGCAGTAGGTCTACGAGCAAGACGTCCTGTTTGACGCATCATATTGAGTCGACAACATCGTCAACGACGATTGCATTGGTGTCGTCAACGCAGGGTATGGCCTTAACTGCGATGAAGAGATGTCTGGTCCAGCGACGAATGAAGATTTCTCCTCTGTTGAGGGGATAGAAGAGCACTGGTCTACAGATATCGTGGAGAATGTTACGGCGGAAACTGCGTACAGGAAGGAGACAGGTTTGGTAGGGGTAGCCTTTTGATGTGGGCGCCTATCTCTCATCATGGCAGAACAGATTTGGTCCATTTGCAGGCCAATCTGACGGCTAAACGATACATAAACGAATATTCCTACCACACGTCCTCTCAATAGCAGACAATGGCAACGGTGTATTCAAGCGGGACAACGCTTGACCGCATCACAAGAGCCTGTGCACACAACAACAACGTTGATGGTTTCCCCTCCCTCCAGATCCCCGGATTTGAACTCGATAGAGAACCTGTGGGATGAATCGGATAGACGGCTACACCGACGTCAACCACAACCCCAGACGTTGCAGCAGTTGGTTTTTGAGTTGCAGGCCGAGTGGGCTACCATTCCCCAGGATGTGATTCGCATACTCGTCTCTTTCATGGGCAGGAGATGTCAGGCCACTATCGATTCCAACGGGGCACATACGCTTATTGGTAGTTGCTTACCTTCATCGTGTACTTTTCCGATGTGCATTGTACGGTTTATATCTGTATAAACCTCACACAAATCTAGCTTTGCGTTGCTGTTTTTAAGAGTATATTGAACTGATAAGCTTTTAGCCTTTACTGTTTTGTTTCGGCATGCTTTCCATCTAACTTTAACAGAAATAAATGTGTCGTTAAGTGTACATGCCGATACGAATGTTCTGAGTGGTTTTGCTTGCACGCACACATATGCACGTTGTTTTCCTCATGTGCTTTGAGTACTGCTGAGACTGCTATATTGTTTATCTGCCGTTAAATGCCTCGTGTTTGGAAACACTCAATATCTTTTATAAAAAAAACAACATTTAAATTAGTATCCAGCCTGTTTTCATTTTTTTAAGAATCTAATGATGTTATGAGTGCTTATGCAAAATAGACATTGATACCCGTATTTTGTTAGTAAATATAAAAGCGTGCATGACTTGAACATCCGTGTGTTCTTTTATGATTAAGAAATACTGTGCATCAAGAATCCAAATAGCAGGCTAACTGTCTTTCTCTTGAACGTGTGGTTTTATTTGAATGAAATTATAGAGGTAATCGTTCGTTATCTGTTCATCTTTTGAGCAAAACAAAAGAGAAGAACTCAATTTAAAAATCTATATCAATATATTATATAAAATATATGGTACTCACATGTACATAAATATGCTCTCTGACTCATAGCATTTATTCACCTGATGAAGGAGTAAGCATGTACTCCGAAACGTGTCTCGTCATAATAAAGAAGTTGACATCCATTAAATCTCTTCCTCATATTGAATGATAGATCATCACAAAATACTATTTGACAGGATTTCAACTGATTTGTAGTAGAGTCATACAGCTTTATCTGTAAATGAGAAGATGGATAAATAAACTATTGCTTTGAAAAGTTATCTGTAATTTGTATTTGTTTGTTTTATGTTAAAAAGATACATATTATTTACTGTGTTAATACCATACAGCACTTCAAGTTTTAGAATGTAATTTACTCAGCACTTGGAAAATGGGGAGATGATACTTACTTACCCCCCACATCAAATGTTGTCGCATGAGTTTGGGTATCAGAGCATAACATTACAGCATTGCTTCACAGAAGATCGATCGGAATACATGATCATGAAATGCACTTCTTTCGTTGCACTTAAGTGAAGTGTCCAAGTTCAGCGAGTGCTGTGATGTTAAGTGCCAATTCAGATATTTTTTGGTCAAAATTTCTGAGTGACAATTTACAATAATCTATACCCCTACAGGACTTGTTTTGTGTCATTACATGTTTCATAGATGTAGGTGCAATAGGAAGCATCTGTTTGATATTCCGGAAATATTTATTGACGTGACATCGAATAGATATGTTTGTTTATTGTTTGACACCGCACACAGCAATATCGCAGGTATATGACGTTAGGATATCAATAGTTGAGTCTGGACAAGACAACCCAGTGATTGACATCATGAGCATCGATCCACGCAAATGGGATACATCTTGGATGCTGCAGTATTTTGTAACAATGATGGCCTCTCTTGCCCCAAAATGAAGTTTATTTTTAGTTTCACTCATTAAGTGTTAATGCTTCCTATTCTCACGAGTCTTCAATTTCGTACATGACCATTTTCTTTCCATAGTATCCACATCCACATTGCCTCTACTGTACCATGCGAGACCTCGAACATATAATGTATAATAAGACTGAAAGGTCTAACGTATACCCGGCTTGCTGTGTTCGGCCCCAAACTGAACAGACCAGCGTATGCGCTATTTCTGGACGTCTACATTCCTCCAGTCATATTCGAGGTTGAAATGGAAAGATATATGACCGACACTCACCATGGTTGATATTCACAGAAATGAGAAACTTTTTCAATCTTGTGTTCAACGTCTAAACATATTCATTGTGTGTCATTCAGATGTGTTTTCTGTGGTACAAAAGAAAGACATAACCCGTCATCCAAGGCCCGTATACAAAGGGGTAATAATATCATGACACCCGTGCAAATATGTACCTTGAACAACGACTATGGGTATTGTGGTCCAAAAGGTGTTCATGGTTTTCTATAATAATAGTTTATAATTATAATGACAAACCCCTTTCCAAATCCAATAAAAATATCATGAGCATGTGATGGCACCAGGTGTAAAGACATACCGAAATTAACTTGGAAATGAGGTCCTTGTTGCCAGACGGTAGAGTCATTGCTATTGTGACTCCGAGTTGTTTTAGGTTGATGAACCGTTATGATATATGGATTTATTAATATTAACTTTCTTATCTCTGTGGTTGCAGAGTAAAAATGCGTTTGCTCTAACATTAAAGGGCGTGTGCATATAAAAGGTCGTAGCATTATCACATAAAACTACCCACGGAAAACATTAAAATGTACAGGTGGACATTGTGATAATTGTTTGCAATGTATCCTCATGTCAGTCGTAAGAGGCGACTAACGGGATCGGGTGGTCAGGCTCGCTGACTTGGTTGATGCATGTCATCGATCCCAATTGCGTGGATCAATGCTCATAATATAAATCACTGGATTTTCTGGTCAAGACTGGATTATTTACAGACCGCCGTCATATAGCTGGACTATTTCTGAGTGCGGCGTAAAACAACAAACAAACAAAATCATTTCAGTATCAGGGCATTGTACTGACAGACTGACACCACTCCCGCCAATGGAGTTTGTAGCAACTGAGAAACAAGGGTACATCTAACTGATAGATAACAGGAAGTCACATACCAGTCCAAGTGGAGCCAAGGCGTCCGAGTATACATGATGCTGGCTGACAGAGAAGGAGCCAGGTGAGGTGTTCCTGGTGTCTCTGCTGAGCTGACACAAGGCTGTCCCTGTAGCAAACGTGGAGGACCTGCACGGAGTGGAGTACCAACACAGAGACTGACACAATGTGAAGCTGGGGACGCGAGTCTCTTTGAAAACACCAGACACGAGTTGTCCAGAGATGATATTCTGTCCATGTCCTTGAGCGACCGTCACCAGCATGCACGGAATCATCAGTAACATGTTCAACGCCCTACTCAATGTGCAATAGGAAGAGGTATTAGAGCAGTAGGAAGAGGTATTAGAGCAACAGGAAGAGGTATTAGAGCAATAGGAGGGGGTATAAGGGCAATAGAAGATGTATTAGAGCAATAGGAAGAGGTATTAGAGCAATAGGAAGCGGTATTAGATCAATAGGAAGAGGTATTAGAGCAATAAGAATAGGTATCAGAGCAATAGGAAGAGGTACTAGAGAAATAGGAAGAGGAATTAGATCAATAGGAAGAGGTATTAGAGCAATAGGAAGAGGTATTAGAGCAATAGGAAGAGGTATTAGAGCAATAGGAAGAGGTATTAGATCAATAGGAAGAGGTATTAGAGCAATAAGAAGAGGTATCAGAGCAATAAGAAGAGATACTAGAGAAATAGGAAGAGGAATTAGATCAATAGGAAGAGGTATAAGAGCAATAGGAAGAGGTATTAGAGCAATAGGAAGAGGTATTAGAGCAATAGGAAGAGGTGTCAGAGTCAACTGCGATTGTTCCCGTCAATATCAGTCAGAACCGTCGGTGACAGTTGATGCCAAGAAGAAACTGAGCAAATCAATTATTGCTCTTTGTGGAATACTTCAGTTAATCCTGCCTGCCAACCAGCATATGAGAGATGCTAGTGGCTCAGTTATTTAAGTTGTGTGTTTACTGATTTTGATTAACACAATAATCAATATACCTTCCTGTGTAGTAAGCTGGGACCACGCATAGCTATAACAATGACGTAAGGTACTCAATTACAGGCATGTTGTTACATTGTTTGTAGTCACTTTGTAGTTCTCCACTTTACATCTTCTACCAGTATCAGTATAGTATATCCTCAGTGCTATTCTGTGTATACACCACTAGACAACCACGAGCAAATACCTTTAATTGTTCATGTTTCTGTTCATGAAACAACACGTGGTACACATCTACTAACTGTGCCGTGACTTCCCTCCAACAATAAGCTGCGATTCCTTAGAGGGAACGTGGTACAACAGCGAGGTCAACACCGTGAATATTCTTTTTTTACTTTGTACAGCTTCCTTTGATACACTGTGATCTAAACAACAACAAAACGGAAACATGTTTTACGGACCATTTAATATTCGGGGATGAGTTGCTTGATTGTTGTTTTTGAGAAAGAATTACGTTTTTCAGTTAATACTTCATCAAGGCAATCAGTTTTAATTGGTTTGTCTCAAAGCAAACAAGCAAACAAACAAACAATTCATCCCCGAGTAATAATTGTTTTCGCACACCTCAGTGGTCATGAACGCTCGTCTTCAGATCGCAGTACCGCCTGCATGGTCTAGTGGTAGAGCGTCCGACCGGCGTGCGCAAACGACGTTAAAATAAAGTACTTGTTGTTACCCTGTCATTGCCGCTCGGCATTAAGGGGCTAAAAGAAGGACTGTTTTGCTCAGAGTCAGTATAATGTGTCTGAGTAAAATATTCATGTTAAACTGCATGGTATCTTAGTGGGCTAGCATTATAAAATCGGCATGACATGTGAGATTTTATACTTGCTACGGAACCTGGCAGCAGCCAAACATTCGGTACCATTAACTGTGTTCTTATAACACAATTAGGAGGCAGTATTTCAGTTGTCTACAACGTACATGGCCCGGTACAGATCTGTCTGAGAGACATGTACATGATCATCATACATGGAATTAACACTCAGTTATTCAACATGTACCGGTCCGAAATGACTGTCGGGAGATTGAAGACTGTTAAACACTTGCTGTTTATGGATCGGTTTTCCCACAACACTGAAATAGTTATGCCAGGATATACATAGTACACCTATATTGTTCCCATCAACGTATTGCAACATAGCTTTACTGAATGCTTCATACACCATCACGTAACTTGTTTGATAGGCATTACTTAGAAGTTGGCGGATGACAAGATAGACGCAATTTTATGGATAACAACTTCTTTAATACTGTAAAAAGCGACGTTTCGGTAAAGATCCTTATACCGTTGTCAAGCAAGACTGAATGAGGGACATAGTGCAGAATATATATAGCAAGTGGAGGATTAACATTAGAGGATTAACAGTAACAACAAGGGCATACATGAGTGGGATAACAAGAGCCAACGGCAGGAACACATCTACACCCCAAGGTTAAAGGTGTAGTCTACAAAATTGACTGCAACTGCGGGCAATCTTACGTAGGTGAAACATCCCGCCCAATCAACACTAGAATCAAAGAGCATAAAACCTCCACCATCAAATCCGACAGCAAATCACCCCACCCACCTCGGCATTTATTCCAAATTTAAAAATTCCAAAAATTCAATATAATTAAGGAACCCCTAAAAGCCCCCTCTTGGGTTGCACACACCACTTTCACCCTTTTTGGAATACACTAAATGGTCTGGCCAGGCCCGTGTGCGATATACGCTACAGTCGGAAAGCGCACGTTAAATCTTCTATATCAGTCAGTCAGTCAGTCCCTCATTCAGTCTTGCTTGACAACGGTATAAGGATCTATACCGAAACGTCGCTTTTTACAGTATTAAAGAAGTTGTTATCCATAAAATTGTGTCTATATTGTCACCATCACGTAGTCAGCAAGGATAAGCTATATGGGTAAACTGCTTCATTACAATTAGGAGCGACTTTTCTGTGAAGGTTCAAACACCGTTATCAAGCAAATGTTTGAACCTGCACCGAATGGATATTGCTGAGTGCGACGTTAAACAATAAACAAAAAAACCAAAACAAACACTTCGGGTAGCCTTTCTGTCAGACTATCCACGATCAAAGGGCATTCCTGTTTCCAGCTATGGGTGTAGACCATGTAGAGTAGTATATCAGGCCACTTATAGGTGTCTATAACTGTACACAAAGGCACAACTACATGGGGACTTTCCATCATAAGCTAGTTGTTAAGAAATGAACGGGGAACGATGTACGTGGCTGCATTCATCATGTCCCATCTGCACCACAGCGTCTCGGTAATAATACAGTCAATACAAGCCAATCTAGTTTCAGAACACAGCGATCAATGCCACCGGAGTACGATGACAATAGGCCGTCAGCCAGGTCACAGAGCTTGATCACCCGATATTAGTCAGGCGCCTAGGGTACCTATTCGTAACTGTCTTCATGTTGGTGATTATGGAGTAATCAACATTGTTATTCAAACTTCAATATTCTTAGATCGATTCATAATGTCGTTATTATTTTCTGATGAACGATCCCCCCTTGACGCCCACAAATCGTTTTCGTCAACACGTTTCCAATAACATGATTGGATTGCTTTGGATTATTATTATTGTCAAGGAACATATCTAAATTATACTTGTAATACCAAATAAGTGAATGAATGTTATGCTAACAGCTGGTCGGCTCTACTGGAGCAGGTTTGTCACAGTGACCTGGCGCATGCCTGAGAGTTGTAAGTCGATGTCGATCCTATGGCAGTGTCATATCAAAAGACGTTAGAATATGGTACTTATTGTTATCCTGCCTGCTTGGTGCTCGGCATTAAAGGTATAGAGCAAGGACTGGTCAGTTAGAAGGTATCCCCAGCAATGTGAGCTTATTGTGTGAGGCGAGTGGATTGGGTAGTCATGCTCCGTGTCCTGCCTGGACAGAGTGGAATATTGCTGAGTGCCGTGGCGTTAGGCAACGAACATACAGTTTTTGGCTATGTTCCTTTTGGTATTAAAAATTTCTTTTCAAACGGTATGCAACCAAGGGAGCGACCATTTGATACTCCCTTTAGGGGGCTGGGAATCTGTGTCGAGAGTAGACATTTTTTTCAGCTTCAGCAGAAAAATCACATTTTTTGTTATTTAAAACTATCAGCCTGATTTTATGAGATACACAACTTGCAACGATGTCATTTTTGTGACAAGTAATTGCTTCATACTTCAAAGGTATGAAGTGTAATTATTATTTTCATTAAAATCAGGGACAATATATTTTTTTCGATAGATAATGGAGTTAGACCCGCCACCGCCACGTCGTTCCTTATTGTAACAAAGACGTTTTCGTATCCTCCCTGATACTAATACTCCAACTTCTAAATGCCCCTCAAAGAAGCCAGGAAGGTGATTAAAAGGACAGTTGTTATAGGAGAGTAAAAGGCAATGTATTTACTATCTATCGTATACAGTGAATTAAATGAATTGATAAGTATATTGAAGTTAAATCAAATGTCATATGCAGGAAATAACCCTGAAACATTGTTTGTGTACAATATATCTAATATAACTTCTACATGCATATGAATACTCCCAGTGGTTAGACCATTGTGGCATGTTGCAATCAAGATATAACACCACTGCGAAGGTCCACAAACACCCCTTACTCCGCATCAGGTGTTCAAGATGCGACCGCCTCTGGAGTGGATAACGCGTCTGTCTAGAAAGTTGGGGTAGCTGAAATACAATGAAGGCGACGTAAAACCCCATTTCACTTCGCATATCGGATGTTAAGACATTTATTTACATTACCTTTTAAAATTCAATTTTACAACATAACATACCACCTGATTTTTGCGTCCAGAATGTTACGTCTGCAACATGACAGCCGTCATTGACCTACGTTGACCAGCAGCAGAATTGAAGCAATGCACATTGTTTTCAAAGAATTACGATTATAAAATTACCGTTGCCGTAGAAGGAGATCGGCCGAAATTAGGATATGGAAACATTAAACCAAACAGAGGCATCCACCTTAGACTAATGGACCTTAGAGACGAGCTATTGATACAGCTGGATCCAACTGCACCTTTAGATTAAATAAATGTTACAATGGTCATTTCGATACAAATCCAGCTCTGTCGATGAGTGATCGCTGACCACAGTCTACTGACTGCAGACCACCGACTGACCACTGACCACTATCTACTGACTGCTGACATCAACTGATCACTGCCCACTGTCTTCTGACTGCTGACCACAACGCAATCACTGCCCACTGTCTACTGAGTGTGGACCACCAAGCAATAACTGCACACTGTATACTGACTGCGGACCACCATACGATCACTGCCCACTGTCTACTGACCGCCGACCATCATACGATCACTGCCCACTGTCTACTGACAGCTCACCACCACACGATCACTGCCCACTGTCTACTGACCGCCGACCATCATACGATCACTGCCCACTGTCCACTGACTGCTGACCACCGACTGATCACTGCCTAGTGTTTCGAACCCGTGTGCATTGTACTTGAAGGCAAGCTCTGGCTTCAATATTCACTAAAGCGTTTGTAAAATATACCCAGGAACATCCTCGCAAAAAATGGCTGTTAGTGCGAAATGTATCCTTTTAGTAGAAATGTTGGATTTCAAGGCGTTTTAACAATTGTGCTTGATACTTTTCATAAATATACTCTATGAGCACAACTCATTCACCTTAAACCAAATTTATAGCTAAAACATACTTTGACATATTCATTTTACAAGCAATGTGTTACGCCATTAAATTACATTTTAAATAATACTAAATATAGGAAAGTCGTTGTGTTTGTTCCAATAATTCTATCGCACCATTCTGAAGTACCAAAATCGCAATTGTCTGGTTAGTATAGGTGGGCTATGTAGCCATGTACTGTGCACATTTCCTTAGAGTCCAGACTGATGGATCAAAATCCCAGCTTCGCCCAACGTTTTCCCACCGATAATCTTTTATCAATCAATTTCAATCCCTCCACCCGTTGGTGATGTGAGTTGAAATTGAGTTTACCTTATTCAAAATGTCCATTTCCTAAATGTCCTATACAGGGAAACAGGCAAACAAGTATTCAGATGGCTCAATATAGACCTGTCGTGATATATAAACACTCTTAAATTACATTAATCATGATTTTCATGCATTTTCCAAAGGTTTCTGTGTACAGGCCTTTGTTGGAGGATACGGAGGAAGGGATGGTCGTGCAGAGTTGCGTCCCTTGTGATTCTGTGTTCTGGGGTTCAAATTCCGGTTCGCCCCGATTATGCTTCAAGGGTGGTCAGCACTACGCCCCGCTCGTGGATTTCACTAAAGAGGTAAACGGTAAATCCAACAGTAACCTCCCAAAACTGGAATATTGTCAAAGGGCCATCATACGAAATAAATGAGCACTGACTCGGTTGTTTGCCGTATATACAAGTTTTTTTTATACAGTTGAAAGTAGTTATGTACAGGAGCGTCATTGTCTTAGGTCAACTTACACATGGGTCCAGTGTAATAAAACACCTAGCCTTACCCTTGGCTAAGTGGGAGAACAAATCCCTACCACCCAAAATCCCCACCCCTTGTTGAAGGTTTACATAGCCAAAGCAATAATCCACAGATTAACTAATGAGTAATAAAAAAAATTACAATGAAGTATAAACTAGGTGCACAGCCCCACGTGGTAGGCTTACAAAGCCAAAGCAATTCTACACAGATTAACTAATGATTAATAACAAAAAAATTTACAATGAAGTATAAACTAGCTGCACAGCCCGATGTGGAAGGCGTACATAGTCAAAGCAATACTACACAGATTAACTTATGATTAACAACAAAATTTACAATGAAGTATAAACTAGGTGCACAGCCCGACGTGGAAGGCTTACATAGCCAAAGCAATAATCCACAGATTAACTATGGTTAATGACAACAACATTTACAATGAAGCATAAACTAGGTGCACAGCCCGATGTGGAAGGCTTACAGTGAACGTATGATACAATATCATGGGGTTAGCAAAGCAGGCTCAGCATGGTCACCACATGTTTCAAAAGATTGGAACATGGTCACATGAAGCATCCGAACGAACTGACAGAGCAGGTGGGTGAGCATTGACACCGTTTTTTTCGTCATGGGAGCTGTAGATCGGGTTGTCCTCCATCACTGTGATTAGAAGAAGAGAAGAATTAATTCATTTTCGACGTGATGTGTTTTGGGTCGAGAATTGGCACATCATCGTTACTGTTTTATAGCGCAC